CACTACGGACCTATTCCAACTTCCAGAATCGGATTCCGACCCCGATATCAAAATTTCACTATCGGTCCGGAAACTTCAAAAATTCAACTTTCGGCATTTCAAGCCTAAATAAGCTACGGACCTCCAAAACACAATCCGTACGCCCCCCTAAGCCCGAAATCACCCAATGGAGCTAACAGAATTGGCGGAATTCCATTCCGGAGCCGTCTTTACAATGCTCCGACTACGGTCCAAATCTAAAGCTTAAGCTCTCACTCAAGGACTAAATGTTCCAAAACACTTCGAAACTCAAAACAAATCATCCCGGCAAATCACAATAGCAGAAATAAACACGGGGAAAGCAGTTAATAGAGGATTGGGGCGTTAATTCTCAAAACGACCGGCCAGATCATTACACCTTAAAGTTCATAACTCACACGTTTATTCATGAGCGGGGTCAAGGACCATTAAAGCTTCTTATTCTAATGGGGTCGGGCCGTTCGCCTTGGCAGTATAGTACATACATCTATGGTTCGTGCCATTCGACCCTCAGCAGTGCGCATATTATGATGGGATCGAGTCGTTCGCCTCGGCAGGATTTTGTACCACTCTCTCGTGGGAGCGGGTCGTTCGCCTCGGCAGTATAATAGATGTATCTATGGTTCGTGCCATTCGACCCTCAACAGTGTATACATTATGATGGATCGGGCCGTACGCCTCAGCATTTCTATAAAATACTCTTATGGAATCGTGCGTAATATTTGACAAGAAGCCAGTGTATCTGTGAGTTTTCCTGATTTGGATTGTTACGACCTATCTGGTGAGGTCCATTATATACATATACTCCGGTTGAGGAGGTAACTACTAATTGAGAGCTTGTGTTAATTGTCGATAGGAGGGTTGTACCACGTATTCATACTTGTTTATTTCGTTTATTTACTCTGCCTCACTTCTGTTTACTTCCTATTGTATTTGATTTATTGGACCACTAGTAAGTGTCGACGTCGACCCCTCGTCACTATTTCTCTGGGGTTAGGCTAGATACTTACTGGGTACGCGTTGATTTACGTACTTATGTTGTACTTGCTGCACTTATTGTGTAGGTACATAATGTCTGGTGGTCTTTTGGGTGCAAAGGCGCGGCTATTGCGGAGACTTTACCGTGAGCTGCATTCCATGTTACGATCTGCAGCATACAGAGTCTGCATCAGAGTTATTTATATTCTCCTGTCTAACTTGTATTCCAAACAGATGTTGTATTTTATTATATTTCCTAGTTGATGTTCATGCACTTGTGACATCGGATTTTGGGGGCTTCTACTGGATGTTTGGTATGGTAGTCACGTAATTATTATCATTTTACCCTATAAAATCTATTTTGTACTATTTAATTAACGAAAATTATGATTTCAAAAGTAATAAAACCGAGTAATTAAGTTGATCAATCATCGTTGGCTTTCCTGACGGCGGCGTTAGGCGCCCTCACGACCTAAGGTGGATTTTGGATTGTGACATCAAACCAACATACCGAAATATTGAAAGAATATAATATTTAACAAAACACAATACAATATTCTAAGTTAAAATATACAATATTCAAGCCAAATATACCATAATATTCTAATTTGGAATATAGTGTTCAAACCAAATATACTTTTCTTTTTATTTATTGTGTATATTTTATTTTACTTGTAATATTAATATGCAATATATAATAGTTTACAATGAACAATTTACTGAATAGTTGTTTATTGTATAGAAGAAAATAAGGACAAAGGTTTCTATAATAAAAGGCTTTGTTTAATTTTGGTCCAACGTTCAAAACAGATGGAGTAATTTCCTTTAATTAGGGGGCAAGTTTATATGGTAGTTATTGTTCTTTAACTAAATGAATATGCAGGATAATTAATTGATGTGTATTACATGTAATTTCATAATTAAAGTATATTGTGTTAAGAGTTTTTCAAAGTGGGTATACTGTGTAAAGTTCCCTAAAAAATAGCTATCTCACGTCGTTTTTACCAGTCAATTTGTGTACCTTCGAATACTTTGTTGGAAATTTTACCTCCTATAGCAAAGGTTGATACCTTATTTATTTTAAATAAATACTCTTTTAAAAATTATATTCTATAGATACCTTTTGATTTTTATAGCCAAATATCTATTTATGGTTACCTCCTACTCTTAAGCCATAAAATACTCTTTGTATTATTTTTCTCTCTCATTCTTTCAGATTTTTCTCCACCCTCTCTCTCTTTCAACGCCAGTCTTTCTCCATGGTTATCTCCTCTCTCTCCGCCTCTTTCTCCATGTTTGAATGTCTAAAATGGTGAGTTATCTAGGTTGGTGAGCATCCGTACAAGGAGATTGTATTGGTGGTGATCTATGTCCCAAGCACTTGGGTATAAACAAGCGTGGATCTATGGTATGTTCAATTCTTAGAATATCTTGAAGGATCTGAGACCCCACCTTGATTTCCAATTTGAATGTCAGCTCCAGGTTTGGAACTGTCCATAGGACTGATTCAGTTATCACTATTGTCGGTCCCCGTGACTATCTATTCATTTAATTTATGCGAAGAGACCACGCACATGGGTACACGTACAAAAAGCTATGCAAAAGCCATGAAAGAAGGGTTTTGATTCGCGTATCGGCGGTAGCTTCTACTCAGGAAGTGACCTTTGCTCCGGCACCATCGCCGGACCAAGGCGGCGTGTTTTCACTACCGGCTTCCAGTGAACGGCGGCTTCGCCGGAAATTAGGGTTTGTTCTTGAACAAAGACGACGGAGTTTGGGGCTGAGCAACTTGATTTTCTGTTAATATATTTCAATGTATTTTCATGTATTTCATTGTATTCATTGTCTTTTTTTTATTGTAATTCAATGTATCTCGTTGTATTCTATGTATTTTATTGTATTCACTGTCTTTTTTTTATTGTATTTCAATGTATCGCGTTGTATTCTATGTATTTCATTGTATTCACTGTCTCGCTATATGCCATGAATGTATTCATATATTTTTTTTAATTAATATAATTTATGTATTCAGATGTATTATATAATTTCTCTGAAGATTGCTATGTTTTTGGGGTATTTTTCTATTGAGAATCTTTTTTATAACTGAAAATACAAAATTTGTGTGTTATAATTGAGTTTGTTGAGTTATATTAGGAGTCTATTATGTTAATTGATTCACTTTCCGTTTTAAAAACAGTGTAATCCCCTATTTCACGCCGTGAATACAGTCGGATACACTTGAATACAATAATCTGTCCAGCTGTAATCCCATGTTTCACTCCATGAATATAGTCGAATACACTCGAATACAACAACTGATTAGCTGGACTTCCCTGATTCACGCCTATTTTTGCTACTATATTCATGAATACAATAGTTTAAATACATCAAATACATCTTATAATCACACAAAATGTATCTATAATCCGTAATATAGCAAATGATATCTATAAATGGCTAATTACTACTAAAAGATAGTGCTTTATGAAAATTTCTCTACTTTGTTTCAAGAGTCAATATGTCGGATGATCGAACTGGCCCAGTTCATTGTTCAGGTGGCCCAGCCCAAGTACCCAACATTTTAACATGACGGCGAAGAGCGATTGAACTAAATATTTTCTTGTCAAAAGTTTACTCTTACGGAAAAATGAGATAGTTTCGTTCTTCTAATATTCTTTAACTTTCGAAGCACATGAAGATGTTTTCGAAAAGAGTAGCTTTTCCAAAGAATAAGTGTTTTAAATTTTTTTGGACAATAAAACCCTATATCAGAAGTTCATATATACTAAACTAAATAGTACGTAGGAACTTTCTAGTTCTTAGAATTATCCATTAATTACATTTTTATAATGTTATTTATCTATGTTAACCAACAATAAGCGAGAGAAATAGTTAGGTAAAAATATTTAAAAATATAAGATCATTTGCATTTAATTATAAAAAGTAGAAGGTTCTGTTTTTTTTCCCTCAGCCAATTATAGTATTCAATGCAAATTTTGCTCTAATGTTTTCGATCAGTTTTGCTATAATATTGACAAATGAATGGTATTACGAGACTCCATCGCCGGACCACTAGGTAAGGAGTTACTTGATTGTTTATACAAGATTTCAAATTTCACTAGTTCATTTCAGTCTCCACATAATTTAGGCTGCTAAACATTTTAATTAGAAAGCACATGATATCTCCAAATGTATCAGTGAAATGAATAGGAGAATGATCCAGATGTCGAATAAGAAACGGTCTAAATGTAACTCTATAATATATGAGGAATTACAAATATATAAAGGTATTCTTAACGCCGGTATAGGCCAATTAAAAACTCATATAAATAAAACCAGCATTATTATGATGCGAGTATATAGCAAAAATTCGTAAAGTAATTGGTATTGTAGAATGTGAAACCTAAATTATTGATTTCCTTGACACATAAAACTGTAGCTTATACGGAATTCTACTTACAAAATAATAAGGTGAGGGAAATAGTTTTGTGCTTTAATAACTTTTATCTTTCAAAGCACGTGAAAAACATAATTTTAAAAAAATGGATAATACAAATCAAATTCGGAGTAATCATTCAATCAATCATATTATTGTTTGGAAAATATCAACGAACAGCATGAATTGAAAAAATGTGAATATTTAAGATAGCTTATATAAGAAATTCGATTCTTTTGGTTAGCAAATTCTTTTGATTTGTTTAATTATAACTCTATTGTTATTTTAACCTCTTGAAGCCCTAATATATCGCTATATAGAACATGTAAGATAGAAGACTTTTATCTTTTAACAATAAACTATTTTACTTTTCTTAGAAAAATGGTTAATTCCTTAAAGGATTGGGTAAAATCTTACTTAGTCAAAATCGTGTTTATCAGTTTGCGATCATTTAGGATTCTTATCAACTTATTCAAACAATCTAATTTAAACCAATCCCTCTTAATTAGGCATATAAAGTAAACTTTGACAACTTTAGATCCATCATTCTAACCATTTCCATCACAATTACACTCCTTTCGTTCATTCAAGAAAAAGAAGATTATTTATGAATACCTTTCCAATTGTGACGTGCATTTTGGCCACATGGGTTGTGGTGGCTGTAAACGCTGGCCATGGCAGTGCACCACCAATACAGTCGCCAATTAAAGCTCCATCTCCGTCGCCTTCTTCACCTTCTCCGGTACCAACGGCGGATTGCTCAACCATTGTGATGGACATGATGCCTTGTTTGAAATTTTTGGAGGCTGATAGCAATGGCACAAAGCCAGATGATTCTTGTTGTTCAGGGTTTAAACAGGTTTTTATATTACATATGAATACTTTCATACAATGTGATAGAATAGTACTAGTTTTTTTTTTTTAATATGTTTGCCTCTACAACAAAAATAGGTTTTAAAGACGAATCCTGATTGTATTTGTGTTGCTTTGGCTACGAGTGCTAGTTTTGGTATCACTGTTAACATGACTCAAGCTGCCGTTTTGCCTTCTGACTGTGGCGTTTCCGCTCCTCCACTCACCAATTGTAACAGTGAGTCCCTTCGATAGTTTACTTCATTTTATTTGTTGCTTTATTTGACATAGGTGCCCATTTATTTTTATTTAGTTTGCATGTAATTTTTAAATATTCAACTATATCAAAAAATAGATCAATCAGATCTATCATCCAGGATATTTTGAGGAAGAAGAGATGAATAGAAAATATATTCGTGAGTAGTGACACTGTGAGAGTTTTTTAAGAGGGTGAAGATTTATGTATTTGACTTCTTTCTTATGGTTCGATTTTTCCTCTTTGCATGCAGGTACCACCGCTCCTAGTGCTTCTCCTGGTATGTATTTAATCCCTTACTTATTTTTCCTCGTTTAAATTTGTTTCATCTGTATTTTCTATTGGGTGGGGATTGATCTTGACAACATTAGTATCATATATATATATATATATATATATATATATATATATATATATATATATATATATATATATATATATATATATATATATATATATATATATATATAGTAATCTATTAAATGTGGAGGCTAGCTTTAACTATTCATAGTAGTACTGCCAAAGAATTTTGAAGTCATATTTTTTTGTCTAAACTCGATTATGGGATCAATATTGTTTAACATATATCTCTGCTATGTTTTTTCGTGGACCAACCAAATTCAATCCATTTTTGGAAAAATGACACTGATCTTACTTGTCCTTTCCTCTGGTTATTTACGTAATTATTTATATTCTTAATACCTTTTAAGATGTTCTATTTTATACCCCTTTTTTCCCTTCTCTGTTAAACATTGTTTTTATGTTGTCTCTTCCATGAATGTTAGATATAGCTAGACAGGTCTATTAGGCCCCTTTAAGGGAATAAACATATCCTCGTTATGAACTTAATTAATGAAAGGGAATTTTGATTGTTTTTGGGATCGAGCTATAGTGGGATGAATGCAATCTCTCCACCTTTGATCATTTGAGCTCTAAGAATAGAGAAAGGCTTGTTAGGGAGCATTTCCCTCTTAAATCGACTTGTACAATGTGAATCTAAATTAGTTTGGCCAGTGAATTAAATACAAAAAAAAAAAAAAAATCATACATACTCCCTACGCGTCTATTCTTTTTCTCTAAGTGACAACGGGTTTTAACCATGTCTAAAAAAAGAAAACCATTGTTAAGTTTTTCATTTTAATTTGTTCTCATTATCTTTTTTTTTAAATTTCCCAGTTAATCCTTCATCGCCAGTTAATCCTCCAGCACCAATTAATCCTCCATCACCACTCATTAATCCTCCAGCACCAGTCGTTAATCCTCCGGCACCAGTTGTTAATCCTCCAACTCCACAGCCAGCTGCAGCACCAACTTCAAAATCGCCAGCTCCAGCACCAGCTGACGCAGATCAAGCTCCAGTTCAAGCACCTAATGCAGAGTCCAGTGGATCCACCATTAATCTAACATCAGCTTCATTCTCAATGCTTTTTGTTATGGCAGCTTTCGCTTCACTAGCATAATTATTAGATTGTCAGAATTAAGTCGTAGCTTCTAGTGTTTATTCTTTTGTTTTAGTGGCTAGACATTTTTATCAAGCACTAGCCTTTTGGTTAATTAGTACTTAGCTAGGTAGTTTCTTCATTTAGAATTAATTATAGATGTTGCTTATATCACTAGTTTTATTCTTTTTCTACAAATAAATGTCCCTATTTTATTAATTGTTACTCTTAAAGTTGTACATATGTGTTTTAATGGCCCCTTAGATTATTTTCTTTGTGGGTGAGATATTTCGTTTATCCATTAGTTTCATTTGTCAAACAATATTTTATTCTTTTCGTTAACTTTTATTTTCTTAATTTTATGTCATATATATGAGTTTACCCGTAATTAGTCTGATCAACAAACAGATTAATAGAAATTTGTTATAACAGCTGTGAGATATTGGTGGTTATCTTTTCCTTTGCCAGTATAGTGTTTTCCTTTTCTAAATTTTTATTTTCTTACTTTTCAATCATATATATGAGTTTATCCAAAATTAACTGATCAGTTACTGGATTAATAGAAATTAGTTAGTTGTTCTGATTAAGCTTAAAAATTTATGAACTATTACATCATAAACCCTACTACTCTCACCGCATACCAAACAAGCATAATGTGTTTCCTTCCGAACGTTGCGTTATTTATTTCCTGGTTAAAACTTTTACCGGAAGTAATTTATTGGATATTGTTATAAATAGAGTTGTATTCTAGGTGAATATCTATCATTTAGAGAGTTTGTTAATTTGTGGCTAAGTTATTTTTCCCTTATAAATAGAGGGGTTTTACCCCATTGTAATCCATCCAAAATTCAATAAGAATTACCTCTATCTCTTTTCCTTGCAATATTCTCCTTTTTCTTTATTGTTTTAGTTCACGTTATTAGCACGAGACTCTACCGTCTCAAGAAGCTTTTTGAGAAGACTAAGGTATTATTTTTCTGTTCTTTCAATAGTGTCTGATATTATGAAACGAAAGTTCGTTGCCCTTGAAATTTTGGGCAAGAACTCTATGTCGTGGTGTTGGATGTTTGTCACGACCCAAAATCCATTAAGGGTCGTAATGGCGCCAGACACTACTTGTTAGGCAAGCCAACGCCAAGAAGTTAAATAAATTTCTCATTTTAGTATTTATGAAATTATTTCTTTTCCTTACAATAAACAATAAATAATGAACTTAACCGAGAAAATAATGGTGTCTTTAACAAATTTAAATACTGAATAATCCCATAGTCATCCCAGAACCCGGTGTCACAAGTACATCAACAATTTCTAGGAAATAAAATGTAATACAATAACTGTCCGGAATACAAATTGGACAAAAAAGAAAGTACATTACTCTGAAGGAGACTCTGCTGGTTGCGGGTCTTCTCGAGAGATGTAACTCACCTAAGTCTCCGTATCAACCATGCCGCTACGCCCAACGAGACCACTAGACATACATGTGCATGTGCAACAAAAATGCACAGCAAGTGTAGTATGAGTACAAAAATAACGCGTACCCAGTAAGTATCCACTCTAACCTCGAAGAAGTAGTAACGAGAGGTCGACTTCGATACTTACTAGTGGTCCAATAATATAATCAGCCGTGGATTTATTAAAAAATCAACAGCAAACTCAAGGGAATCATGTAGCAAGTAAATAATCCTTTTGATAATAAGAGATTTCCAAGTTCATATTTCCACAATTACCAATTTATCTCAGGCCATGGAGGCAATATCATTATTTATAATTTCAAGGCAAGCAATACAAGCGTGTGCAAATCATGCCGAGGTCGTACGGCCCGATCCAACATAATATTTAAACTGTGCACTGCTAGAGGGTCGAATGGCGCGAACCATAGATGCATCTATTACCCCGATCGCGAATCATACATGCGACGCGGTCAAATACAAATAAACACATCAAACAGTCAATCAAGAATTCATCAGGGAAATAATTACCCAAAGAAATGGCAACTTCTCTTTAACGGTCAAGAAAATGATGTTTAATTTCTTTAGAAATTCATTTACCAATTCGATATGATTTAAGAAATTTAAATTGTCAATAAGGTTACAAATATTTCAAGTATAGCATGCTTTCGGGTCTTAGACTACCCGACTTAAGCATAATAGTAGCTATGCACGGACCCTCATCACCTTGTGCGTACGTAGCCCCCACAAATAGAAGCACATATTTAATTATTTCACCTATGGGGATAATTCCCTCTTACAAGGTTAGAAAGAAGACTTACCTCGCTTCGAAGTTCCATAACCGGCTCCCAAGCCTTTTCGACGACTCAAATCGATGCCCAACGCTCCAAAACTAATCAATAAATATGCAAACTCATTAATATATACTCAAATACCCATTATAATCCTATTTACAACAATTTCCAACTCCATCTGAAAAGTCGATAAAATCATCCTCGAGCCTACGTGCCTGGATTCCGAAAATATTCGAAGATAAACTTTACCCATAACACCACGAACTCAACTATATAATTTATTCCAAGTTCCATGTCCAATTTCGTGGTCAAAATCCAAAAATACAAATTTCTAGGTTTTTCTTCAAAACCCCTAAATTTCCACTAATTTGCCATGATTTTTCATGTTAAAATCGAGATATAATCCAAGTAATTAACTTGCAATAGGTGGGAATCACTTACCTTGACATAGATGATGAAGATGGAGCTCCAAAATCGCTCCTATGTCGTCTCCCAAGGAGGAAATGAGATGAAATGAGCCAAACACATTTTGGCAAACTTATACACTGCCAGGCAACCCTTCTTCGCGTTCGCGATGAACAAAATTCTCAAAAGCCATTCCCAAACTCTTCTCAGACAGCCTCTAGTATAATGGTCATAACTTTTTGTACAAAATTACAAATGACAAATGGTTTAACTTTTTGAAAACTAGACACCATTGATATACAACTTTCATATTTTGATCATTTCCCAATTCCTTATAGATTTCGAGATATAAGCCTCCATAATCAGCCATGTGCAACACAAATTTCTTCTTCATCTTCCCGGACAGCTTGTAGTGTACCAGCCATACCGTTTTGTAAACAAATCCAAATACTAAGTGGTTTAGTTTTCTGAAAACTAGACACAAAGGACTACAACTTTCATTTTTTGATCATCTCCAAATTCCTTATAGATTGCGAGATTGAGCCTCCGAAGTTAGACCTGTGCAACATAGATTTCCTTCTCCGCGAACGCGAGGATCTCTTCGCGAACTCAAAGAACGAAGTCCCTGAAGTCAAATCCTTCTTTGCGAACGCGAGAGGATCCTCACGAACGCGAAGAACAACACCAGACACCAGCATAAGCTATTGCAAAACAGCCCGAAAAGATCTGAAACCACCCCGAAATACACCCGAGGCCCCCAGGGCCCCGTCCAATCACATAAACTAGTCCCATAACATAACATGGACCTGCTCGAGGCCTTAAATCACATCAAACAACATCGAAATCATAAATCGCACCCCAATTCAAGCTTAAGGAACTTTAGAACTTCGAACTTCTACATTAGATGTCGAAACCTATCAAATCACGTCCGATTGACCTCAAATTTTGCACACAAGTCATATTCGACATTACGGGCCTACTCCAACTTCCAAAAATGGAACCCGACCCCGATATCAAAAAGTCCACTTCCGGTCAAACTTCTCAAAAACCTTCAAATTTTTAACTTTCGCCAAATGACCCCAAAATGACCAACGGACCTCCGAATCCACTTCCTGACGTTCTCCCAATAACAGAATCACCATACGGAGCTATTCCCAGACTCAAAATCCCAAACGGACATTGATAACATTGAAATGCACTACAACACAAATTTATGAAATTCTTCCAAAATGCCAACTTCCACAATAGGTGCCAAAACGCTCACGGGTCATTCAAAACCCGCTCAGGACATACGCTCAAGTCCAAAATCATCATACGAACCTATTGGAACCTTCAAATCCCAATTCCGAGGTCGTTTACTCAAAAATCAAACCTTAGTCAATTCTTTCAACTTAAAGATTCCGAAATGAGAATTTTCTTTCCAAATCAACTCCGAACTTCCCGAAATTCAATTCCGACCATGCGTGCAAGTCATAATGCCTGAAGTAAAGCTACTCATGGCCTCAAACTGCCGAATGACGCGCTAGAGCTCAAAACGACTGGTCGGGTCATTACAATGCTGAAATCCATTTAGATGCAATGGGTCTTGGAGACACCATTAAAGATAAAAATAAAGCATCTACCCAAGACTGTGCTAAAGCCTTGATTTCTTGATCCATCACCTTGATGAAGGGTTGAAAATAGAATATCTCACAGTCAAAGTCCACATGTTTTGTAGAATGTCATAAAGGAAAGATATGACAACTTAAAGCTGGTCACACTTCCACAAGCACGATATGATTGGGCTCATCTGAGGCTCCAAGACTTTAAGTCTGTTTCTGAATACAATTCGGCGATGTTCAGAATTACTTATTGAAACTTTGTAGAGACAGTATCACTGACTATGATATGCTTGAAAAAACGTTCACAACGTTTTCATGCCTCCAATATGGTCCTGCAACAGCAGTACCGAGAGAAAAGTTTCAAGAAGTATTCTGAGTTGATTTCTCTTCTCCTTGTGGCTGAACGAAACAATGACTTGCTCATGAGAAATCACGATAATCGACCAACTGGGTCTACACTATTGCCTGAAGTGGATGAGGTGTATTCCCATTATGTTAAGCGTGAAAAAGGCGGGGCCCTATTCGTGGCCGTGGACAAGGAAAAAGTTTTCCTGGTGTTAATCATCCCCCAAAGAAAAATAACCACCTAAAGTGGAAAGGGAAAGATGAGAAGCCAAAGGCAAATGGTTCACAAACTGAATGCTATTGTTGCGGTGGAAAAAGGGCATTGGAAAAATATTTGTCGTACACTAAGACATTTGGTTGAGCTTTATCAAGCATCTCTAAAGAATAAAGGCCCTGAAGCTAATTTTGTCTATGACAATGAATTTGACATTACCCACTTGGATGTGGCAGACTTCTTTGAGCAGCCTGATGAAAAAATAGACCACTTGATCGGTGGTGCATCCGTGGTTAAAGATGATTAAGTAGTTTGATTTTTTGTTTTTTTGCCTGTTCGTAGTAGGTAGTGAATAAACATCATGTAATCATAGTTCTTTACATGAGTAATAGTCATTAGTATCAAT